ACTAATTAATAATCATGAGATATAATTATGAAAAGAAAAGTTTATGCCATAATTTCTACTTTTCTTCTCTTTTACTTCTCTGTAATATTATAAACGGTTGTGTTTGTCTGAATTACCCTTAACCTTTGACCCTCACGAAGCCCATGTGGACAAGAAGAACAAGGTGGTGACCACACCTGCTTTCATGTGTGAAACAAAGTTGCACTTGATTTTTGATGGGATTGGTGCTATGGTGAGAGATGTTCTAAAGCTCAGTGGGAAGTGAAAATTCAACCAATATATCAGTATTTTCAGGTTCATTACATAGAGCTCGTCAGTCATCTAGGATCTGTATCAGACTGCGTACATGATAAAGAGTAGGCTATTTCTTGCTGTGATTTGTAGTGATTTGCAAAACAAGACTGAAAGACTTGACAGACATTACTAATCAAACATACAGTATATCTGCCTGACAGTGTTAAATTGTATTTTGGCGAATATCCAGCAGAGGGCACTCTCTGTATTTAAAAAAGATAATGTGAATTATATGTAGCTCCCAAGATTTTCTCAATTTTGGAAACTTTAACTTGCCACGTAGGATAAACTCACCAGTTGATTAAAAAAGAAATTTCAGAGTACCAACTTAATACATTGAACCAGTTAAAAGCTTGACCTTATGTCATTATGTCCTTATAATGAGTTCTTGTGTCATTTAAAGTAGGCACAGTCTGTGTTGAAATATGAAGTTTGAAATGATGAATAAAGTGCATATTTTTTCTAAAACTTATCAAATGTTAGTGGCTAGTCATTTATCAGTATACATTTTAAATCAGTAATATATCATGCAATGAAGTATTTACTGAAAATCTAGATGCTTCAAAAGTTTTTATTTAGTTAATAGTTGCTAAAGTGCCCCATAACTGTATGTTGTTTGGCTGTGTGTGCAGAATTGAATTGTCAATGCTTTTTAGATGCCACTTGAATTAATTGAACATCAAAGATACATTCCCTTGACTTGACACAGTTTCCCCTTAATATAAGGCAAGTTGTCACTAGACCACTTTATTTTTGAAAAGTCCGATTTCTTAATTCAGATTATATTTCATAAGTTAAATTATAGTCATTATATTTCTAATGTTACTGGCACTTTAGTCTATTTTCAGTAACAAACAGCCTGTAATTATTTCTCCTTGCCTATAGAATGATATTAGTAAAAATTATCATTGCTTTGCCCACTCTCCCCTACCCTAAAGAGAAAAACCCCCACAATATAATAACATATATAATATAAAAGTTCAAATGATCATGCTTAATTTCTGAAGTGATTGTCTATGGTTATTAAATCAGGTGGTGGAGGTTTAAAGGAGTGTGTCCTGGAAACTGATGAGAGACAGAAAGACCTTTTTTTTTTGATGAGAAAAAGGAAACGGGTGTGTTTAGACTAATGGGATTAGTCACATGATTAGCTACAGGCACCGATCATCATATGGCATCACGCAAGGCTACACACACCTCAAAGAGACCTGCAGTCGCCCACACAGACTCATTTCCTGAGCACCCATGTATATCTTATTGAGGTATGACTTTATAGGCAGTGCACACACTTTAATTGTAACTACTTATATTTGGTCATAAGATATCCATCACTTCAGACAAATACATTTTTACTTTTTAACAAACTCAAAAATATGTATGTACTTCACTAGATTTTAAAATATTTTTAAAGAAAATATTTAAATTTATTTAAATGAAAAAGTACAGTAAAACGGTAATATTATGAAATAGTGTTAAAATTTTAAATAAGAGTTTTCTATTTTAATATATTTTAAATTGTGATTTATTCTTGTGATGGCAAAACTTAATTTTTCAGCAGCCGTTACTCCAGTCACATTATCCTTCAAGAAACATTGTAATGTCCCACGATAATTTTCTAGTTTTTTTTTTCTTGCCCCCTTTGCTGTGGTGTGAATATACTAGTTTTCCTCTTTTCAGTTTCATTCGGGTCAGGTCAGGTCAGGCCAGGCAGATGTGTCTGCCTGCTGGTTACTTCTTTCTGACAGGCCGGTTCTCAGACCAGGGCATCTAGTTGTTCTGTTCCCAGGCACGGCACTCTTTGATGGGGATTTCTCCCACCCACCTCTCATCAGCCTACCCACTTCCCACAGCCTTCCAGAGAGGCTGGGCAAACAAGACCCCGCGTTCTGCCAATTTGTCCGTACAAAACGCAGGGATTTGGGGGCCTACAGACACTCTTACACAGACAAATGATAAGTATTTGCCTGGCAGTCTGAGATTCCTCACCCCCACCTCTATCTATGCATAAACACACACTCACTTGGTGCTTTCTCTACACTCTCCGGCCACTGGTTTCTTTAGTCTGACTTTCTTTAACCAGCCCTTCTGACAAAAAAAAAAAAAAGACCTAGACTTGCTAAGAAGGTTTCATAGACCAGTATATTTATGTTTTTTTTTGTATTTAATTGTTGGTTTTTTACTGGTTCCTCATCATGGCTATGTTGTTCAAGCTGGGTTACGAGTAATAAGCAGTAACAGATCGTAATAGACCAGTATTGGCCAGCTAAAATCAGATCATCTTGGATCTTTTTTTTATTTTACATTTTGTACGGATGTCATCTGGGTACTGGGTATACTATGTCCAGTTGCATTATTGACTTAAACACACTACTAATACTAGTAAATGGTGTAAAATAGTGCAGAAATAAGTAAGTAACTCCTCCTGTAGGTGTCTGGGTTCCACCCGTTTTCAGATAAAATGTCTGAATTGTGTGTGACAGGCTTGGGGTTCCTGCAGCCCTGTTGGTTGTAAATGGGCTGAGGCCTCGGTGTATTATTGTGAGTGGGGCAGTCTATCAGAGACCGGACTGAGGCCTGAGGCCCCGCGGTCCTCCTGGCATCCTGATCAGAGGATTAGCAGCATACAGCCGCAGGTCAAGAGCATGCCAGTCACACACACTCTCTTTAACACACACCCACACTTGTCATTTCACTTTCTCTCACAAACACCTTCGCTTTCACACACGCACGCCTGGAGAGAGCATTTCTCAACCTCTCACACTTGTGCAGAAGAGGCCTGTTTGATAGCAGGTTGCGGATTAGGTTCTGTGTTCTCTTTCATTCTTATTCTGATTGGCTTATGCTCTTGAGAGTCTTTTTTTACTACAGTGAGGTTGCGCAAGTCCATACAATGAAAGGGGATTTTTTTCTCATGACATCATATTCCCCCGTCCTCCCACATTTGAAAGGTTTTTAAGTTTTTTTTTTTTGTTCATTTAAGACGGATCATTGTTCAGTTTTATGCTGCTATTGTTTGCATAAAAGATCATACGTTTGTTATTTGATCCATAAAGCAGGTGGTTGTAAAAATGTGGCCTGGTTTTAAGTTATTTTCTTTTATTCATCTGTTCTCAAATAATAAATATTATTGTGCTTATTACAGATATTAACCCACAGTTCTACTTGATACTTTAAGCACATATGGCAGGTGGTCAATGTCAGGCCGAGCCATTCCAGCTTCAGAATATAGGGGTGTGCTGGTGTTTGACCAGAGAAGCGTGTCCTGTCTGTTAGTGTACCCCTGCACTGACCCCTGTCCATCCCTCAATAGTGCAACGCCTTGTTGCCCCCAGCATGAGGTCCCAGCATCCCCTAGTTGTGATAGTGGGGGGCACACAGCAAGGGGCCTTAGAGGGGATGCAGAATTAGCAGCTAAAATGGAGACTCACATTTCCATATGCATGCCACTGACAAGTGTTATACTGACAAACCCGGTACCAATACGTGTACAAGGTGGCCCAATGCAACAAGATGGGGGGAAGAAGGGGGCGCTGGGGGTTGGGCTTTAAAGGGGGCAGCAATATTGTACTAATTCGTGCAAGAGACTCTCTATCAAAGCGAAAGACATACGGTAATTAACGAGGGGTGAGGGGAAAAAGAGAGGAAAGAAAGAGCTGGAAGAATGAGTTTGGGAGCAAGAGGGACAGAGATGCTGATTTTGACGTGTAAATGCTGTGTTTATTAGCATATGGTGGTTTGTCCAGACCCAGCATTTACCAGCAGAATTGAATGTGTGTGCGGCATGGATGTGACTTTGTCCCCCCTAAATTTCCAAAGCTACCTTTTCAGATACAACCTCCCCCAACTCCCAAACACTACCTCACCTTTCAATTCCTTTTCTTACCTCTTTTCTATGGCCATTGCCTTTTTCTGCCCTCTTTCTCAATGGTTATCAACCGTTGTTGGTACCGTTGTTACCAACGGCCAGGCAGATTTTTTTTTCTTGTTCTTTTTTCTTTATTTAAAGATCAGTCTTGTCCAGCAAGTACAATGTGATCAGCGGACACTTACTTTTATTCTTGCCAAAAGTACTAGTACTAAAAATACAACAGATTTTAAACATTAGCTCCAAAAATATGAAAACTGCATGATAAGAAAATTAAAAGTGCATTCTCTAATTAATAAATTCAGTTATCTTTGGTTTTGGTAACAGTTAAATGAAGTATTAAATAATTATTTATGTTTCAATTATTTTTTTATTATAATTTTTTTATTATTTTATTTATTAACTTAATTTTTTTTTATTATTTATTGTATTTATGTATTATTATTATTTTTTTTTTTAATTAAATAAAATTAAATGATTAGGCATTTGTGCCAAAAACTGCATGGCCACTCTTTAGTTCTCACTATAAATTCCAATTCTCACTATTAACTATGGCTTTTGCTTCAATAATCTACTAATTTACTGCTTATTAATAGTTAGTAAGGGGGTTGTTAAGTTTAGGTATTGGGTAGGATTAGGAATGTAGAATATGGTCATGCAGAATATGTGCTTTATAAGTACTAATAAACAGCCAATATGTAAATAATACGCATGCTAACAAGCATAGTTAATAGTGAGAATTGGTCATTATACTAAAGTGTTACAGGTAGGGATCTAAAATATGGTCATGCAGAATAAGGCATTAATATGTGCTTTATAAGTACTAATAAACAGCCAATATGCTAGTAATGTGCATGCCAATAAGCAACTGGTGAATAGTAACAAATGGTCCCTAAACTAATTATTTGTATTAATTAAATGGTATTTTACATGATTCGGCATCTGTGCAGTAAGGTAAAGTATTTCACACTTTTCTCTGGGACTGAAAAAGAGCAGAGCAGGTCGCCCAGTGTGGTGCCTCTCATCTTTTGTGTGCTGGTTTCCCCATGCCAGCTTTCTGCTGTCACATTAGTGCACATCAAATGCACGAGCTCACATGCAAATGTACTCTTAGACTTTTAGCTTTTTAGCTGGCTCAGTTGCTTCCTTTGCAAACAGGAAGTACTTTTTAGTCTTTCAAACCGATTTGCTAAGTGTCATCATGTTTGTCTTTCCTTTTTAAGTGTCTCTCAGGGGTGTTTTTGGAGCAATTATTTACACCTGCTGCAATGGGTAAGTGGGAGCAAGAATCCTTCATCATATAATGAACTCCTGGCAGACCCTCGCTACTGAATATTTCCCTCTGGCCAGTGGAATAGCAAGCCAGATATACAGTAAGTAATATCAACCATGTGTGATTGTGAAGTTTGTGTGGGTATGTGTCAGATGATCAGTGTGAGTGGTCAGCCTGTTACAGGTCAAAGTTCATGGTCATCAATGGTTGAGGCTGACGGCTCTCCATCTGGTGGGGACTTGGCCTCTGAGGGTTAGGGCTAAATAGTGTAAGTGCAGAGCTTGTCTTCAAAAGTTTTTTTCTGTGTGTGACAGATCAAGTATGTAAATCACATATTCGTGTGTGTCCTGTGCCGGGTCTAAAGGCCTCTTCAGTTTACACTATGTTTAGACGCAAATTTAGCCCATGGGTGTACTGAATGCTCTAATCACACACAACAATACCTGTCAAACCATTTGACCATTCACAAAACACTGCACTTCTCTCTCTCTTTCTCTTCCTGGCAGGTAGATCTTTGGTGCTGCAGCTGCATGTCATGAATTGAATGAAAGCAGGCACTTGAGCAACTATGTGTGCACCCAGTAAAAAGGTGAAAAAGCCTATTAATCCTTTCCACGATTATTGCACTAGCATTGCCCAATTACATCCAGCTCAGTGATAAGATGAATCGCTGATCAGATTCATTTTGGCTGTTAAAAGCTGTATCATTTGCTTGACACGTAACACATTTGGTTGCTCAATGTTAACAGTACGTCTAACTTATTACATTTTTCTGGTAACACCTTCAGGTGTTTGTAAAGAAGTTTTTTTTTATGTAATTTCATTTGAATTATTTAAGTTTTAATATTTAGGAAGAGCTTGAACAGGTAAATATAATAAAACCTTATGTGGGAATGCCACAGTTTAATATGCATGATTTTGTCACATTAATGCACCTAAATATATACTTTTTTTTTTTTTTTAGTAATTGTGAAAAATTGGTTAATCATAACATCTCTATCTCCATTCCACCCACTTTATCCTTCAATTCTCTCTCTCTCTCTCTCTCTCTCTCTCTCTGGCTGTCACTGCAGCACAATGTAGGAGCATTAGTATGCTAATGAGGTGCGGGGCGACAGGTGGCCCGCTAGACAGCTCAATTAAGCAGCTCGTTAAAGGCCAAGCTAACGAAGCGGCCTGCACTGCAAGCCTCAACAAACAATGTGACTGTGCAGGCTACAAATTGGTGAGTGCTAGTTCTGTATGTGTGTGTGCACGTGTGTAGCAGGCAAGAGGCAGAGAGTTGGAGATAGAGACTGTTTTAGTGTGTGTGAGTAAATGTGTAAGCAGTGAGTTGGAGGGAGAGACTGATTCAGTTTATGTGTGTGTGTGTGTTTAGCAGTTAGCAAGGCTTTGTGATGGACACAACTAATAATGGCTAATAAGAGGGGCTGTTGCTTTTGCTCCTCAGGAAATTGAAAGCAAAAAATTAAATAAATTATAAATAAATCACTTAAATACAGACCATCCTAATTTTTTATAATTTCCCTCCAAAACACTTTGCAGTAAACGGTCCCTTACACTTACACAAATGTTCATATTTCGTTACATGTTTTCTGCGGATATACACTGACGCTGTAACAGATATACACTCTAATTTTTACATTCTGACATTGAGTCATTTAGAATGAAAGTTTTGATCAGGAATTCAAATGAAATTAGGCATGTATAGAAAAAAAACCTGTCTTTAGTGTTTTAAGAAAACATTTAACAGAAGGTTAAATGTTTTAATTAGAAGAAAATAAATTAGTAAGCCCTGACCTTACCAACTTCCAAAATCATCCTAAAGGAAAACATTTTTATTGGGTGATAAAGATATGATTACCAGTATCTTGTGTATCCTCTTGTGTATTAAATGCATATTAATTGCTAATACTTTCTTATCAAGTTAGTACACATAAGTGTATACATTTTTTTTAAAATTGAGATTACGGATTTGTCATATGTAAATCAAATTAGGGATTCACTGATTTTAAATTCTGAATGAAAACTCTAGTTATTTTCATGTTATGGCTGATAACTAATGAATATACAGTAATACAATTTTATACTATTTTTGACTTAAGACTGTACATTCAAAATAAAGCACAAAAGCGTTCTAATGTGTGAAATTAGGCATTACAACATTATAATGCACTATGATATTCATTGAGATTTGTTAAATATTACATTTTAACAGTGTTATTAGATGGGAGTTATATGTCAGCAAATGTAATTTAAATGTAAACATATAGGAAACAAGCATGTATAATTTAATATCTAATATAAAGTAATAATGATAAATCAATAATCAAATGTACTCATATAGTCACTTTACTCATATACACAATACTATGTTTAAAATGCAAAATAAGCACCAATGGTTTTAGGTTATGTTTACAGTGAAAAATTAAGTCATGTTTGTAAAAATCATTTCAAACATTAATGATGTCTGGGATTAAATGCTTCTTAATGATTATGTTCCTGCATATGACATGATGAAATAAACATCTCTTTGTCTGATCACCCAGCAAAATAACCATGGCTGGAAACATTTGAGCAGCTCTGGGACAATATCAGAAGCCGCCACAGTTTGTGGTGGAGGAGCATTGTTTATTGTGGCTAGATAAAGTTGTAACACAGACATTTTAATCAGTTTGTAACACTTAGCATTTGAGCCTTATTATCCGGGGTGTGTTCACTGGTGCGTGAAACAGCAGTGTTTGGGTTCATAACCCGACCCTCCTGTCTGAGTCTCGCTGGCATAAAGGGATCATGAGCTCTAATGGTTCAGGGATCTGCCCAGCAAACGAGGTTAGGTATGGAGGAAGACAAAAACACAGGGGCTAAACAGAGCCGCCCCATTCGCGAGCAAGCTGCTGCAAAGCTGGCCGACTCATGAATATGTTAATCCACATTTGCCCAAATAAGTATGTAGAGAGGGAGAGAAGGAAAAAAACAGCAGCACTCATTAATTAATAAGGACAATGTGCCTTTAATGACAGTGTTGACACTGTTGGCGAACAAGTGATTGGGGCCTGAGAACGAGAGGTCATCAGAATGAGAGGAAGTGACACAGTGATGGGCGTTACTGTCAAAAGGAGAGGTTTTCTGTCCTAGGAGGGCAGAAAAGGTGATCGAGGATGGACATGCTGAGTATAATGAAGTCAGAACTGAGCCACGAGAGAGAGAGAGACAAACAAGCCAGTTAGACAAGTAGACAGCGCAGAGGTCAGGAAAGTCAAATTTAGATATACACTGATTTGGAAAGAGAAAAGAGGACACTTCAAGGATATAATAATATAAAAGAATGAAGTAATCTGAAGCTTTGCATGTCATTATTTTCTGTCACTGTGTGTAATGTATGTGCCTTAAAATAATGATTGTTTTCAAACAGGTTTCCTGAACACTCTCCCTGACTGCCATTGGTTGGAAAACATATAGTCCTGACCCAGTGTTCCTGTATCAGGCTGATCAGGATGCAGAACAATGTTTTGATAGCACCTCAAGGCCAAGCTAGTACATTTGTATCAGTTACAATAGGTTTTTTTTGTATGTTGTTTTTTTTTATTTTTTATTTTTTTTAAGTAAGAATATATAATTGTCTCTGCATAGTAACTTGGAAAGGAGAGAGTTTCCTAGCTGTGCAACTCTAAACAAATCTATTCCGATGAAGAAACAAATTATACCTTTAAGTTTTATTAATTTTTCCTAAGAAATGTACTGTGACATTATAGTCATGTAGATAAATAACCATTTGATGAACATTGTATGTATTGTATGCATCGAAAATGGCATTTGTCAGAAATATTTGACAAAGTTGACTGCCTAGATAGCACAGTGAATGTATACAATATTGCGGGGAAATGTTTACATGGTTGCCGCTACATTTTATTAAAAATCAATTGAATATTGACAAAATATCTTCCATGTATTTTGTCTTAAAGAAATAGGCAAGAATGAACCTGTTGTCCTCTGATTCCAGTTCTTTCCAACAACAAAGTACCTGTCCGTGACAAACCCATAAAATGTTTGCTGGCACATTATAATGCTATAATGTTTCATGAATGAATTGAAAAATCTCACACATTTTTACCAGTGTTTGTTCCTCAAATTTGCCCTATACACTGACTTTCATGAGAAACATATAAGTATTACAAAATCTGACATATAAGAGAATAGATATTAGACAAGATGCTAATGCCATTCACTAACAGCACTTCAGCATTTTTGTGCAAATCCCCCAGGCCTTATGGTGTTTGATTCACAACAGTAAAACCCAGACTTGCATTGAAACACACCATCTCTTTTTGATGCAACAAATTTAAGCATTGCATCGAGGCCTGAAAGAACAACAATGGCTCAATCTTTTCAAACACCAGAGCAGCGCCACACATAGAGATCAGAGTAAGTTTATGAAGTAATCTCTCTTTCTCTCTCGCTATCACTCGAACCCCTCCCTCTGTGTTATGACATAGTAATCTGTGTCTCTAGCAGCTTGAATGAATAGGCGTATGAATGGCTGTTTTCTGCCTACATGAACCTATTGGAGGTGGATCAACCATATGCCCATGGACATGCACACTCAATGACAAAGGCGGATACCAACAGGTCCTCTCTGACACAAAGCACCGTGGGGCTGAGGGAGGCGGGCGAGACGAAGGGTGCATCTTAACCTGAGATGTCCACACACACCCCACCGCATGCCACCCACACAGCAATATGGAGATGCGACATTGATACAAACCCAGCCTGGGGAGTTTGTGAAGATGATGCTTTGTTGTGTTGTTTTTGAAAGGTCTTGGTTTGTGCGGGTGATGTTATTGTGTATGTAAAATGTATGGAGGAAGAGGGAGGGGACAGTAGGAAAGACAAGCACTTTTTTGGAGGGGGCAAATCTGTTGCAGCTCTGGATGAAGTCCTGTGATGGAGAGACAGTGTGTTAAGCGACATATGTGACACAGAGGGACAAAAGGATTATGGTCCTCTTCTCGTTATCCGTACCTTTGGACAGTGGGATTATCATCCGAGGAGTGAATATCTCGGGCCGCTAAACTTCAGTGTGGCCCGGTTCCTCATCTCTTGTGTGGGGTGGGAAAGCAGGGGTGAAGGGGGATCCCTGGAGAGCGGGCCGCTATCAGGATTTACATATCCATCAGAGATCAGAGCTATGTTCTCTTTCTTTCACTTTTCTCTCTTCTTTTTCCTCTGTCTTGCATACACATGCTCGAACATGCTGAGATGTTTCATTTTACTGTTTCTGAATTAGACTGTTTCTGGATTTTACAGTTTCTGTTTACTTTTGAAAATGCTTCTAATTTTTCCACATTTATTGTTATTATATTTAATATTTTTATATTATATGCAAAGAGGTTCAAAGTCCACATATGAAAATGCTTGTTCTTTCGTGTTTATTATTTATTATATTATATTATATTATATTATATTACATTGTGTTGTATTATACTTTCATAACAATGTAAGTCTAAAGATTGACTTAAAAAATAAACAACTCTAAAAATGTATTTGGTTTGCTCATATTTTGCTTTATTGATAGCGTCACTCAAGCTGCATGAACTCAAAATCCATGACAATTATGTACAAAGTTAGCATGGTCAGATTACAAATGTATTTATTTTCCTAGAAATAGTACAGAATTTTATTTATTAAAAAAAAAAGAAGAAAACTATGAATATGCATTTGTCATAATGTTTTATTTATTGAATTTTGAAACTAAAATGTTTTTTAACCCCATTGTGTCTTTACAAATAAATGCATCACTCTGGCATGGAGAAAAATAATAATTTTTGTATTTGAAAAAATTACAGGAGGAGTACAACGGAGTAACTACTGTAGCGGAGGGCAAATGAAGTTCAGCTGAGGTGAAGGGGTGAGACAACAGTGAGAGAGATCGAGAGACGCGTCTAATGATGGAATGCACACAGAGAGATGAAAACTAATGGAGACAAAGGATGTACAGAGTGACCGAGAGAGGGAGAGAGATGGCGATGGGGTGGCTGACTGCTGTTGAACTCATCGTCATCTTAATTGATGAGGTCATCCCGGGGACTATCCCAAAACTAGAGTGTCCCCGGGAGGTCGTCACCAGGTCATCCAAAAGTCAGAGTGCATCGGAGGGAGATGACATAGCATGTAACTTTTCTTTGTGTTTTGCTGTTGTTGTTGTTTGTTTATGGGGTTTTTGCATTTAATTGAAAGGATAGTGTAGACCAGACAGGAAAGTGGAAGGAGAGAGAGAGGGAAATAGGATCAGGACCAGATGCAAGCTGGATTTGAACCTGTGTCCCCTTCAGCACAACATATATTTCTATGTCCTGACTTTCTGTGTGCATTACCAACTGTATCATAGCTCCAACTTCTATGCATTATTACTAAACTACTTGCTGCTTTAAAATGATTTCAAATTCATCTAAATGAGATTTTTGAAAATTATTTTTATTTATTTTTTCTTACAAGATTTTCAAAGTTGTTGATATACAAAGTTATTTTTCAAAATCATGTTTAGGTGCCACATTCTCAAACCAATACGTATTGTTTTAATTATTTATTATTTTAGCTTAAAATTTTCAATTTTAATGTGCTTTATTGGCATTACAAAACATGCATTACCTAAAACATACAATAAATAAATAAATATATATATATATATATATATATATATATTTGTGTGTGTGTGTGTGTATGTATAATCCAATATATAATAATTTTTAGGTGCCATAAAACTAACTTAATATGAATATTTAAAAATATATATATTTTTATAATTTACATACATTTCTTTTTTAATAAATGAGTAATTATTAGGAAACTAATAAAAAAAGATTAACGATAAATTAAAGATACAACAGAAAATAAAAACCTTTTTTTCCCCTTTTTCTCACATATACAAAGGTTTGTTTTGAAATTGGGTCCGTGTCTTTGATATGCTGTCAATCAAATGTTCTCTGCTGGAATTGCTAGAGTGTAGGTGTGAAAGTAACCTTTGCAACACAGGCACACAAACACACACATATACAGAGAAACTCAAATAGACTCGCTCAGCGACAACACACTCCGTAATTGCTGCCTATTAAGGTCTTCGCTTCTCTCCCACACCTCATTACAGGCCTAAACACACACTGCCCCCTCATTACAGATTGCTTGCTAAACACACAAACATATACAATTCCCTCATTCCCACCTGTCAGTTAAACACTCAACCTGGCAAGCGTGACCACTGAGAGTTGGGTGTTAACTCGCTGATGACAGTGTGAGAGGTGTGGGCTCTGTAACCCCATTCCAATACATGATAGAAAACTGTTATGCGTGCTGACCTTATGTGTCCGTGTGTGTTGTGGGAAGTCTCTAACGAGGCATTTGTCAGGATGGTGCGGTTCTCTTGTTGGATTAGGTTTGACTTTGAACACCCTATAAAGAAAACGGACTCTCATATAGAAAAACCAATTAGCACTTGTATCTATACATGTACCTCACACTGTGTTTGCATGTGCAAAAGCAACAGGTTCAAATCCGTTGTATGGGGAAAAAGCTGGTGATGTGAGTGCATAAAAATAATGTTTTTGTATATAATTAGCATTCAAATAATGCATCTAGCATTCAAATAATGCATCTCATAATCTTGTACTGCAGTTATATCTGATCAAATGCACATTATTATTCTTTAGTTTGGGTTAAACAAATCAATTTTGCTTGGTTGGAACAGCAGCTACGCTAATTATGTCTCTTTGTTTCTCTGTTTCTGCTGGGATTGACATCCCGTGGTAACTAGGATATACACAAGCTTCAGTCTGGATCCAGAACACACGAGAAGAGATGATGCCAACCCCTCAGAAGCTGTACAAATAAACTTGAATTGAAATGAATTGAATATGCAATAATGCAGTGATTTAGTTTCATCATCATAATATTTGTTATTATAACTATCATCTCTCCATCTTGTGCTCCTGTTATTCTCTGCAATGAAATAATGTGCAACCTTTAGCAATGGGGGGTTTGTTTGTTGTAAATTGGTGCAATTCGCTATAGACCCTGGTCCTTTTCTCACTCTCTCTTTCTCAAGGTGAAAGGAAATTGAATGTGCCAAAAAGAACAGATGGGTTGGTGAGAGGAGAATAAATGAACAAAAAGTTGCTGCAAAACAGAGGTGTATAATTATGGTTATACCACAGTATGTGTCAGATCCAAAGGGTATGACAAAGTAACTGTGCTTTTACTATATTACAGGCACAATCCCCCTGGAGTAACCTGGGATGAAGTGTCTTACAGACACTGATCTTAATTCATGGCTCATTCTTTTGAAAGACTTGAATCAGGAACTTTCCAGTTGCAGACATGAAGTTAAACCACCCCATCGTTAATGGTGTCGTTTTTGTTTGTTGTGATAATTTAGAAAGGAAGAAAATCAGATTACTTCTGTCCAGCAGTGCCATTTTTAATGTCATTTTGAAGGAAACTGGAAGAAGAGCATTTTGAAACTTGGAAGGAAGTTC